GTCTATATGTATATATATATATATATATATAGTGTATGAATCTATAATAATGTTCCGCGGAAAACGTGACCCCCTCAAGACGCGCCGCACACTCTTGCAAATCATCTATCGGACTTATGAAGAGAGTAATTAGATACGATCATTCTATGTGTAACACGCTGCTCCGGTACTCCGCGAATCACGGTTTCTATCGCTACTTTGGTTTCGAGAAACGACACCACCCCCTTTGCGTCCCGTTTTGCACAAGCGTCTCTCTTCTCTTTATCTTCCGCGAAGTCGAGAGCGCGAGATCGTTTCGCCACGAAAAAAGACTCTGCGAGGTACACCGCTCGTTTCGCGAAGAAGAGGGATGTACGAGTTCAGACGCGAACGTTCGCGGACGTTCCGTGCTTACTATCGAACGCTTTTGAGGAGGAGGGAAATCGCGCGCACGTCGCATTCCGAAAATACGCTTAGCGTATATTGCCGATCGTTCCCGTCAGCGTAAACTACGAAGAGTGACCGTTTATATTGCACATAGTAGTAGTAGTAATAATAAAGTCGAAGTGTAAAATTCGTCATCGACGTTGCGGTAGCAGCAACCCTCGATCCTCGCGTTCCTCGCGAGCGAGCAGCGGGCCCCTTTTTCCTCTTCGCGGGCTCAACTTCGCTGATCCCTTCGTTTCTCGCGCGAAGGTTCGTGAAGGTAACTCACATCGGTTTTTGGGAAAGAAAATTGGTAGAGAACTCGGTACGGCGGATGTTGGCTTAGGCAGGCCTGGACAACCTGGAGCACGCCGCCACGATGTCATGTACAGCCGTTCGCGATCGAAAAGTTAAATTACTTCGATTTCCGTTTACCTCTCCCTTCCTGTCACCCGTATGACACCTATTCTCTCTAAACTTTCAGTCCCCCTATTTATGTTTCTTTTATGTTTTCATCTACGCGTTATTTTCCTCTCGCTTGAATAAGTTAATTAGTAAAAAATCATTTTGTCGAATGCTTTCCTAGCGCGGTAGTTGCGTTATCCGTACAAGAAACGCATTACACAACGCATCTATGTAACATATTTTTAATAAGTTCCTTAATAACTAGAAAACCGTGTATATGTATACATGTTTGTACGAATGTGTGTGTGTGTGTGTGTGTGTGTTGTGTTTCTGGGTTTGTGATACAGAGAATTACCTACACAGCAGATTGAAGCGTGGCTTTTTTTCATTACTGATTAACATCCAATGCGGACGATTTGTCACTCTCTTTATATCGTCTCTATCCTCTCTCCCTATTACCCTCTTCCAGATTTCCCACCGGCCCTCATCACCTACGCGTCTTTTCTGATGTCACTGCTTCCACTATCACCCCCTCATTCTTTCCTCTTTCTTTCTCGCTCTTCCAATCCCATTCGCTCACTCTGGCAACACACTTTCGCGTCGGATCAGGTACTCGCGTTTCCTTACGAACATTCGTCGCGCGGGTTTTCGTTCGGGCTTTCGTCCAAATGGACGATGTCGGTGGGAAAACACGAGCCCCGTTTGTTCGAGAAGTCGCTTCCGCCAACGTCCATCCGGGTCGCGCTTCGCAAAATCAAAATCCTCGCTCGATCGGGATGGACGACGCGGGAAGGAACTCCTTCCTTCTACGCGGCATGCGGCAGTCGAACTTGGAAGGGACGATCCGCGGCAGAACGAGACGCAAGCGCAAGGCGGATCCGTATCGCAATCGCGCTGCCGGTGATTTCGGTAAACTCTCGAGGAGGATTGGTGCCGACAATTGGCGCGGGGACAATTGGTGAGTACACGAGGTCGGCGGCGACGACGGCGGCAGCCCCTCCCTCGCTTGCTCGCTCCTCGAGACTCGCGGTAACTAACAATACTCGATCTTTCGGACAGAACCGGTGCATTTTACAGCGCAGACAGATAGGATTATACATGTACGAGTAATCGATATACTGAGAATCCGTGTCCATTTCTCTTCTGAATCCTGTGTCTCGGCGTGTATTTTTTCTTCATTTTCTTCTTCGTTTTTTTCGGCTCGACGATATCGGCTTGGCGTGGATCCGATCATTTCCTCTTTTCTTGGCTGCCTTCCGGCGCCTTCGTCGGATGCAAGATCCGTTTCCGATTCGGCAAAGTCATCTGGATGGGCATAGTTTTGCCCGACGATGATATCGATGATCGTTAGCAAGTCGTTATGGATGCGAGGTCGAAGATCGGTGTAACGCCAAGAGCCTGCATCGATTGGCGGGCAACAGCGGCTGGTTTTTTCCTCCAGTATAACCGGTACAACTTGAAGTAGTAGTAGTGGAGTAGTAGTAGTAGTAGTAGTAGTAGTAGTAGTAGTAGTAGTAGTAGTAGTAATAGTAGTAGTAGTAGTAATAATTTGTAGTAGAATAGTAGTTGTGGTAGTAGTAGTAATAGTAATAATAGTGGTAGTAGAGTAGAGTAGTGATAGTACGTAACGATCGAGTGGTGGTAGTAATAGTAGTAGTAGTAATAGCAGTTTTGAGGCTGTGTTCTTGTTGTAGGTAAGTAAGTAAGTAAGTAATATGGGAGGCGGAGGGAAGTGAGGGTTGGTTGGGGCACGTGAGGGGAGGGTGGGGAGATATTGGTAGAGGTGGTAGTTAATTAGCTAGGGCTGCGAGATAATTAGGGACAACGCAGCTGGGGTTAACACCAACGGAAAGGCACGGCCCGAGGCCGATCCGCGCCCTCCTTCACCAGCGGCTTGTGGAACTCCCGACCTGGCCGGGAGTGAATAGTTGCCCAGCAATGCTCGCAGTAGTACTGAAAATAGACAGTATTTATATAATTCGGACTTCATAATTAAATTCAAAAAATTTAATCTTCTTTCTTATTAACACGAGAGAGAAAAGAGAAATTTTATTGGAGATTAACTTCAATAAAATAATTATTTCATTAAAACAAAGGCATAATTTTATTTATTAAAATAAAAGCTTAATAGAGAGAAAATCCTCTCCCATCAATTCATTATTAAAAGATACAAATATAATTTTAGCTTTGAATCAAATGAATGGAGTTTTTTAATAAAAGTGAAATTCAGTGAAATCTCCGAAAATGTAATTTTTTTAATGGAGTTGCTTTTTGCTATGATATTTGCTATGATATAGAAACTTTCAAACTTTAGCTTCAAATTGACTGATAATAAAAACCGCATTTTTACTTTATAGCTTCCTTCACTTTATTAATGAAGACGAGTCGATTATGTGAAATATACCTGTAGGCAGGTGACGTTGGCGCAGAAGAACGGTGCAAACTTGCCTCCGCAACGCTGGCCTTGACATTCGTCACACATCTGATCGTCCAGAACATATGGTTTGACTTCAACCTATTCGAAAGATTATTATATGATTAGAGAAAGTGCGAAATTCTCAAAGTTTTTATTTATATCATTTAGAACAAGAATAATTGCTTGAGGTACAATGTTCGTAATTTGTAAAGATGTCCCATCTTTAAAACAGTTCTATCAATCATGGATTTAAATCTTCTATTCTGGTTCTAAATGCTTCATTTAGGCCGGTAGTCCATAATTCTTATACTTAAGAACACATTTTAAGTACAATCTTAGATAGCATGAACTATCATAGAACCATATTAGCATCTTAAGATATTACTTAAAATGACTTTGAAATAAGATCAAACTATAAATATTAAGTTTATATATATATATAGATATTATTTGTTTAACAAGTAAATCCTTAAAAAACAGGATTTTCCTTCTTCATATTTACCCTTTTGTCAATATCGCCGTGCTGCAGCTGTACGAATCTGGCTGAGATGGCAGCTATGTAGCTTTGCTGATTACTGAAGGCGACTCTGCCGGCACCTTTGGGATACTTGAGCTCAGGATCGGTGTCGATGCCAGCATAACAGACACCACCATAAAGCCGATCCATGATCATCGCGAGCTCGACTGCCTTGAGCGGCCGCGGCACCCCGCCGACAAAGACTGTCTTTCGCGGATCAAGCGGCATGGAGGCGTCCAGCACAAAGTCGGCGTCACTGAGCCGCCAAGGTCGGATCTGCACGGGCTTGTCCTTGATCGTGGGCGAGCTCACGCAAAGGTAAAGCTTGTCCTCGTCTTGGATACAGGCATCTATCAGCTGTTGCACCGAACCCTCGTCCTGGAATAATCGCATGACACATTCGATTATCATTAATTTTTGTTAGTTTATTTCTATTTTCACAGTCTTTTTCGTAATTAACCGTTGGTTTATTTTTATTACAAAAATTATTTTTATTCACAAAATTTGAAAACGAAAAGAGAAGCGGAAGGAGTCGAAAACGTACCTGGAACAGCAGAAATGCGTAACCTTTCGGAGGGAAGTAGGATTTGCTTTCTGCCTTGTGCGGCCAATCCACAACAAGCGGACCAAAGCGGCGGAAACTGGCTGTGATCTCGTCTGAATTGAGAAGATGCATTGTGATTACTTCCCGCGAATAACCAATCTTAGATGATATAATATAAACTGCGTACCTTCGTCAATGTCAGGCGGTAATCCGCCGACGAAGACTTTCCTCGAGAAACGCTCGCCGGTTTCGCTGCCCTGGCTGTGCGGACTGCTCCGACTTGGCGACGAGAGCGGCGCCGCTTGGGACGCCGTTATCCCGCCACCCACGCCGACGCCGACGCCTACTCCGACGCCAACGCCGACACCGTCCAACTGGCTCGGCGCATTCGGATCCTCCAGCCCTTGCTCATCGAGACTCGGGAAGAACGGAGATTTACCTGAAATACAAAACATTTCTCTACGTGAGTAATTCGATTCCGTTCGAGAAGTACATAAGTTAAGCGATAGAATATGAATAAATTGAGGAAAAAAGTCAAGATGGATATGCGTAAAAATAAATCGGTCGATATTAATGAATAAAATTAATTGTAATATAGATTATAAGAAAATTTGGTGAAATAAGTCCTTCCTAAATCTGCCCTTCCTCTAATTTGAATACAATAGAGGCGAAATTTGGGCCACGCGTGTCGATCGGCCGATTTACGTCATAAAACAACAGATCGTTATGAATCGTCGCGGAAATCAAGGTCTGGATCTGACATTCATTCGTTGTCGGAGAATTCATTATGCAATTGTGCGGAATCACGTAACGAGCGGCGTGTGTATTATATGTAAGAGACGTTAAGAGAAAGAAGGGGTGGGGAGAGAATCGCGCGCAATATGAGTACTTTCGACATAACTTCTTTTTCTTTTTTTGATTGAATCAGAAATTTTTACGTTGCATACAATTGAAATATAGCCTCGTAAAAACGTGCTGATTACATAATGTGATGTTCTCAACATTGTTCCTGCCTCACCAAGAGATAAGGAGACGATTTTCTTAAAGTATATATCGGATAAGTTATTTAATGTTCCGAAACTGGAAGTATATTATGAATAATTGTGTTGGATTTTTGAGAGAAAAATCAATGGATGCGCAATTGTTTATCAATGTATCCTCTATCAGAAACTCTCTTGAAATATTGTGTGGAAAATAAATAAAGCATTACTTGGTTAAAAGTATATTATTTGTCAAATATTATATTATAGCTCGAAATAATTACGGGATGGCAACAATTAAGAAAACTAAATTACTTCATTTACTAGTGAAGTGTTTATTTATTTAATTTATCAAGGCTTGAGTTGTTCCACCTTTTGACAAAAATTTTAGCCCACTCTCTTACTCTCTTACGTTTATTCTTTTGTTTATCCATTAGATAAATTATCACATAGTTTATTCAAAGATGAAATAACTGGCTCTAAATGGAATAAATATGTTACTCCTAAAATTACTCCAAAGACGTATTGCGATTATAGAAAAAAATTAAGCTTACATATCAAAAGTAATTTTTAAGCATTTTTCAAATATTCGCATTTAACTCTGTAAATTCTTTGGAGTGAAATCTCACCCTAAAGAGAGAAAATTGAGCCAATCTTAAAAAAGAGTGGCTCAATTTTCAATCTTTAAGAGTGAGATTCACTCGAAAAGTTTTACAGAGAAATGATAATATGAGTAAGGAATACTAACTTGATGCTTTTGAACGTTTTGTAAACACAAAACTATAATATACCAGATTTTCACCAGATTATATTTTGTTAAATATAGTTATTAATTTATGTAAAAAGGAAAGGCTTCGAAAGTTGAACATCGCAGCTCCGATTGCTCCGCGAAAGAGGTTCGGTCCAACGCCATAAACACCAGTAATTTGACGGCAATCGGAGGTCGTTCATTTCGTAGCAAGATGATTCCGCTTACTCCAAGACGAGCGCAAGAAAAGGAAGATCACCACCGTGTAAGGGATTGCACTCGCGTGCAATCAACGACCGGTTATTAATTACTCGCATGGGTAATAATCGGTGTACGGATCGCCGAACTCGGTAATGCAATAACTCGCGGCAGGAAAAGATCGCCTCCGTCGTGCCATGAAAAGGCACGCGTAGAAGTAAAATAAAGTGGAACTCACTGTATCTCCTCCTGACCGGAAATCTCGCTCGTCTGATAAACGTCGCCATTCTCGATCGGCGATCGAGATAATGAGCCGACAACGGCGAGGATTCACGCGCGCCTGTCGACTGTACCTATCGTCCACGGGACGGGACGCCGTTTGTTTCTCCTGTCGTTGTTAAGGGAGGGGGAAAAAAAGGAGAAGCAGTAAACAGGGTGCAACGCGCATGAATGGCACGGCGGAAAACGTCGGAACGCCGGATCGTCGGAACAAGCGAGCGCCGGTCGCAACGTTCATTTTTTTTTCCTCTCCCGTTTCCGCGCATCACGCACGCTATACACTGATCATACATACATACATACACGCGCGCTGCCACGCAATCGGTGTAATAATAATCGAACTGGAAACAAATACGAGGGTCCCCCCCCCCTCTCCCACCCTGGGCTCTCCCATCATATTTTGCCTATCCGCTCAGCGACAAGCAGCTCTATTTGCTTTTTTTCTAGCGCGCGGGCTCTATCGCGAGCTGATAATTATTTACATATACTCAGGGTAAAATGCGAGATATGAATATAGGTCGCAGATATATATACCGGGTGTGTTACGATTAGTGAAATACGTCTTGTAATCGGTGACTGAGAAAAATAACGGGTTTCTTCCCGCGGATATTCGAGCGAAGTTAATCGAGCGTTAATTGATGATTGCGGGAATAATTCGTGGAGAGAGAAATGTTCAGAGCTTGAAGTAAAGCTTCCTGCATGCGGCCCGGCAACAATAATCCATCGATTTCTTCGTGTCGACGTTTAATGCTCGACGTTCGAAGGAACTTACCGGTATGAAATTGGCGGCGTGAATGTAACTTTCGTACGCGAGAGTAGGTACGTGATGAGAATTATGTAAGGATCAGATTGATGCACACGGGCGTGTGCAACTTACATGCGTAATTTTAGGCGTAAGACATTTAAACACATGGATTTGTACTATTTCAAA